ACTTTCAGGGTGAAAAAGCTTTCAGGAAGGGAGTTTGCATTTTCCTTCCTGTGTCATATGTGCATGGCATTTTCTAGGGTGGTCATAGTTGGACGTCCCCTCTGATTTTTTCCCAGATTTCCCATGCCTGCAGATACCTAAGTGCATAGTAAGTGCAACAGGCGTTGGTTCCGTTGCCTTGGTTTCTGTGGACTGTATTCCCTGTTGGTGCATGTTTTACCTGTCTTATTCCCCTATCCCCCAGAACCTACAATGGAGCTCCCACCAGTTGTTTTGGTAATAATCCTCAGCTATATCTAGTGGAGTCCTTTCCCCCCCCCTGTTGCTATTTTCCTGTGGTATTTCTAGTTGCAATATTGGTTTTATCCTTCTCATTGACTACACTTGTTTCCCCACTACGGCACCTGTCCCCTAGAAGTCAGTTTATATGTATTCCTATTCCTTCCTGCGTATAATTCCCGGAGTCAACCTGGACAAAATATCCACTTCACCATTACGTCTCCCAGGTCAGCACCTCCAGCTTCACCATTACTGTCTCTCATAACAGCGCCTCAGCTTCACCAATACTGTCTCCCAGGACGCACCTAAAGCCTTCCCCATTTACTGTCTCCCCGGACAGCACCCTCCGCTTCAACACCATTACTGTTCCACCCAGGAACAGCACTAATCAGCCCCACATTTACTGACTACCTAGGACATCACCTTCCAGCCTTACTTATGTGACTACATGGCCATTATCAAAGGGCAGTACCATTCAGCCCAGACTCTTTATGTCCATCTGTTGTAGAAAGCTTCCAGTTGTCTATGAAAGCAGCTTTGATGTTATCCCTCTTTTAATACCCTTGTGATTTTAGTCCCACAAATTTTCCTCATTTGGGCATACCAAAAACACGTTTTCCCTGTTTTATATACGCTTGTAGCTTATTTTCTGTGATATCCCTGCACAAGGGCTGACAACCAATTTTCCACAAAAATACATTTTATCCATGGGAAGCCGTTTGTTTGATTGCCTGCAGACTATCCAACACAGCTTCATAATACTAGGGGGAGAAAACAATCATAGTACTAGGGGAGACAACAATCATAGTACTAGGGGGAGACAACAATCATAGTACTTAGGTGGAGATAACAATCATAGTACTAGAGGGAGAGAACAACATAGTACTAGTGGAGACAACAATCATAGTACTAGTGTGAGACAACAATCATAGTACTAGGGTAGACAACGAATCATAGTAACTAGAGGGGAGACAACAATCATAGTACTAGTGGAGAGAACAATCAAGTACTCAGGGGGAGACAATAATTCATAGTACTAGTGGGAGACAACAATCATAGGTACTAGTGTAGACAACATCATAGTACGAGGGGGAGACAAACAATCATAGTACTGATGGGGAGATAACTAATAATAGTACTAGGTGGAGACAACAATCATTGTACTAGGGGAGAGACAATCATTAGTACTAGGGGGAGAGAAGCAATCATAGTACTAGGGAGACAACAATCATAGTACTAGGGGAGACAACAATCATAGTACTAGGGGGAGACAACAATCATAGTACTAGGGGAGACAACAATCATAGTACTAGGGGGAGACAACAATCATAGTACTAGGGGGAGAGAACAATCATAGTACTAGGGGGAGACAACAATCATAGTACTAGGGGGAGAGAACAATCATAGTACTAGGGGAGAGAACAATCATAGTACTAGGGGGAGAGAACAATCATAGTACTAGGGGGAGAGAACAATCATAGTAGTAGGGGGAGAGAACAATCATAGTACTAGGGGGAGAGAACAATCATAGTACTAGGGGGAGAGAACACAACTTTGTAGTACACACAGTCAGTGGCCAGGCTTCAAACACCTGTTATTGTAGAACAATAAAGGAATGGAACAAACTGCCTGCACATGTCAGTCATAACATGAACCAGTTCTTGGAGACAATCAAAAGATAATGAATGTAGCGACAGAAAGGGAGGAGAATGATTTTTTATATTTTAAGCTAACACACTCGTAAATATAAATGACTCATTTGACCTTATTCCTGGTATATCTCCTTTATAGTACAATAATAAGATATTTTCTCCTTTATAGTGGAATAATTAAGTATTAAAAGGACTTCAATGGAAATTAGTCACTGTGTCTGACTTTTTTGTGACATCCCAGGTTGTGTTTTCTGTGACATCCCAGGTTGTGTACAGTAAGTAAGTAAGTAAGTAAGTAAGTAAGAAAGTAAGTAAGTAAGTAAGTTTATTCAGGTATACACAAATACAGTTACATAGAATTATCATACATAGCAGCATATGTGTAGACAACCTGGGATAACACAAAAAAGTCAGACAGACTGACTTATTTCCATTGTGGTCCTTTCATTTGTTGCTATATATGATAATCTATGTAACTATAATGTATACCTGAATATAAAGGCAGTTTTAGCATGTACACCAGATTGTTATACTCCATTGTACAAACATGTGTCAGGCTGAAATAAAATTATTATTATTAGCATTATTATTGTAATTTTGATTACTGGGTCTAAAAATAAATTAACATAAAAGTGTACCCTTGGAAATACGTTTTCTCTGGTAAGTGTCACTTTCCATTTTCTATGATATAAGGGTCACTGTCCTCCTGATACCGTTACTCTCTGTCACTGTTGCTGTATAGCCCTTGTGGCTTAGCGCTTCTTTTTGATTATAATAATCTGTCACTGTTGATTAATAATAACACTGACCTACTTATGTACCTACTCATTTATCTACTAACCTAATTACATTCATACTTACCTAATTACATGCCTGCTTAATTACATACATAATTATTGACCTACTTATCTAAATATCTAGAGACTGGACGCTACTCCCACGAGCCCTCCTAGGGCGGGGAAGGTCCAAGAGCCAGAGCTCGCTACCACCTGCAGTTCACAAGGCTGCCATCCCCACGAGCCCTGTGAGGGTGGGGAATGAGGCTAGGCCTGGGGACAGTTGGTCCCAGAATGTGGCTAGGCCTGGGGACAGTTGGTCCCAGAATGTGGCTAGGCCTGGGGACAGTTGGTCCCAGAATGTGGCTAGGCCTGGGGACAGTTGGTCCTAGAATGTGGCTAAGCCTGGGGACAGTTGGTCCCAGAATGTGGCTAGGCCTGGGGACAGTTGGTCCCAGAATGTGGCTTGGCCTGGGGACAGTTGGTCCCAGAATGTGGCTAGGCCTGGGGACAGTTGGTCCCATAATGTGGCTAGGCCTGGGGACAGCTGGTCCCAGAATGTGGCTTGGCCTGGGGACAGTTGGTCCCAGAATGTGGCTAGGCCTGGGGACAATTGGTCCCAGAATGTGGCTTGGCCTGGGGACAGTTGGTCCCAGAATGTGGTTAGGCCTGGGGACAGTTGGTCCCAGACCGGGAGAATACCGGCGAATCAAGAACAACAACCTACTTTACCTACTTACTTACCTTCATACAGACCTACTTAAGTACTTATCTTCATACATACATACTTAACTACCTACTTACCTGCTAACATTCCTACTTACCTACCTATTTACCTACATAACTACCCACTTACCAAAATATGTACTTACCTGTTTACCTACCTACTGATTTAACTACCTATTTACTTGCCTATTTATGTACCTATGTACCTACCTACTTACCTACCTCCTTACCTTCCTACTTACTTATTTACCTAGATAAGATAAGATAATCCTACCTACCTACCTACCTACTTATCTAAATACCTACTTACCCTTCTACTTATCATCCTATTTACCTACTTACCTGCTTATCTACTTACATACCTACCTATTTACCTACTTACTCTCCATCTTATCTTCCTTCTTACCCACTTTCTTACCTACCTGCCAACTTAACTACCTACCTATTTGCCTACTTATTCTTCTATTTACCTACCTACCTACTTACGTACCTACTTACTTGCCTACTTACCTATCTACTCACCTGCCTACCTATTTAGCTACCTACCTACTTACATACCTATTTTCTCTCCTAGTTACGTACTTTCCTACCTACTTACCTACTATTTTACATACCTACCTACTTAAGTGCCTACATACCTACTTCCTCACTTACTTACCTACATGCTTACCCTCCTACTTACCTACCAACTTTAATACCAACCTATTTACCTACCTACCTATTTACCTACCTGCCTATTTACCCTTCTACTTATATAATTTCCTATTTACTTACGTACCTACTTACCCTGTTTACTTAGCTACTTACCCTCCTGCTTACCTACTTGCCTATCTACCTACTTACCATCCTGCTTACCTACTTGCCTATCTACCTACTTACCATCCTGCTTACCTACTTGCCTATCTACCTACATACCATCCTGCTTACCTACTTGCCTATCTACCTACTTACCCTCCTGCTTACCTACTTGCCTATCTACCTACTTACCATCCTGCTTACCTACTTGCCTATCTAACTACTTACCATCCTGCTTACCTACTTGCCTATCTAACTACTTACCATCCTGCTTACCTACTTGCCTATCTAACTACTTACCATCCTGCTTACCTACTTGCCTATCTACCTACATACCATCCTGCTTACTTACTTGCCTATCTACCTACTTACCATCCTGCTTACCTACTTGCCTATCTACCTACTTACCATCCTGCTTACCTACTTGCCTATTTACCTACTTGCCTATCTACCTACTTACCATCCTGCTTACCTACTTGCCTATCTACCTACTTACCATCCTGCTTACCTACTTGCCTATCTACCTACTTACCATCCTGCTTACCTACTTGCCTATCTACCTCCATACCATCCTGCTTACCTACTTGCCTATCTACCTACTTACCATCCTGCTTACCTACTTGCTTATGTACCTACATACCATCCTGCTTACCTACTTGCCTACCTACCTATATATTTACCCTTTTACCAATTTGTTTTACCTTCTTACCCTCCTACTTACCTACCTACTTACCCACCTACTTACATAGTGGGCTACACTGCTGTCGCCCATCAGTGTGGGTTAAGACGTCAGTGGGAGGGTGTGTGCGCCTCTCCTATCACCGTTATACCAAGAATATACACCGCTATACCTCGCTCTCTGGATATACTATATACTTGTGGGTATACTAAATATTTTTAGGTAGGCTATACACTTGGGTGTATCCACACTAGTGAGTATACTAAACACTTAGGTATATCCACACTTTGGGTATACTGTACACCTGTGGGTATACTATACACCTGTGGGTATACTATACACCTGTGGGTATACTATGCACTTGTTTATATATTATACACTTGAACATTAAAATGGTATGAAATACCTAACCTACCATATTATACACTTGGTAGTAAACTATACACTTACGTGTATACTGTACACTTGAGGGTATACTATACACTTGAGGGTAAACTATACACTTGTAGGTATACTATACACTTGAGGGTAAACTATACACTTGTAGGTATACTATACACTTGAGGGTAAACTATACACTTGTAGGTATACTATACACTTGAGGGTAAACTATACACTTGTAGGTATACTATACACTTGAGGGTATACTATACACTTGAGGGTATACTACACACTTGAGGGTATACTATACACTTGAGGGTATACTGTACACTTGAGGGTAAACTATACACTTGTAGGTATACTGTACACTTGAGGGTATACTACATACTTGAGGGTAAGCTATACACTTGTGGGTATACTATACTCTTGTGCGTATACTATATACTTGAGGGTATACTATACACTTGAGAGTAAACTATCCATATGTGGGTGTACTATACACTTGTAGGTATACCATATACTTGATCGTATACTATACACTTGTAGGTATACCATATACTTGATCGTATACTATACACTTGTGGGTATACTACAAACCTATATATTTACTGTAGTCGATATACCAACCGTGTTATACCCGGAAACACACCTCTGGGTGTACTGTATAAATCTGTATATACCTTGGAGAATATTCCAGCCGTAAACTGCCCGGATATACACGTCCAGGTATACAATACGTTTCTGGGTATACCAAATACAATCTTGTATACATAAGTGCTAAAGGAATATATATGAGATATACCAGTATGATGTAAGTATTATTATTATTATTATTATTATTATTATTATTATTATTATTATTATTATTATTATTATTATTATTATTATTATTATTATTATTATTATTATTATTACAAATGTTTTTAATTTGAATACATTTCTGTATATCTCTCAGTGTATATACACTAAGAGGTGTATATGTCAGTGTATATACACCGAGAGATGTATCTCTCAGTGTATGTACACTGAGATGTGTATATCTCTCAGTGTTTACAGACCCAGATGTGCATACCTTAGTGTATATACTCTGAGGGATCTATATCTCTGTGTATATTCACTGGGAGGTGTATATTTCTCAGTGTATATACAGTGGGAGGTGTATATTTCTCAGTGTATATACACTGGGAGGTGTATATTTCTCAGCATATATATATAGGGAGGTACATAACTCTCAGTATAAATACACTGAGAGTTGTATATTTCACTGTGTATATACGACGAGACGTGTATATCTCTCAGAGTATATATTGTGACAGGTGTTTGTCTCTGTATATATAATGACAGGTGTAGATCTGTGTATATATACACTGAAAGACATATATATCAGTGTATAAATACTGAGAGATGTATATATGTCAGTGTATATGCACTGACAATTTGTATTTCCCAGTATGTAGAGGATACACACTGAGATATTCTCGTAGAGGCGAATATCTCAGCGTATATCCACTGAAAGGTGTATAACTAAGTGTATATACTGTGAAAGGTGTATATATCAGTGTATATATAATGACAGGTGTATATCTGTATGTATATACGCTGAGAGACATATATATCAGTGGTGGTGGCCCGGTGGCCTGGTGGCCCGGTGGCCTGGTGGCCCGGTGGCCTGGTGGCTAAAGCTCCCGCTTCACACACGGAGGGCCCGGGTTCGATTCCCGGCGGGTGGAAACATTTCGACACGTTTCCTTACACCTGTTGTCCTGTTCACCTAGCAGCAAATAGGTACCTGGGTGTTAGTGGACTGGTGTGGGTGGCATCCTGGGTGTTAGTCGACTGGTGTGGGTGGCATCCTGGGGGACAAGATTAAGGACCACAATGGAAATAAGTTAGACAGTCCTCGATGACGCACTGACTTTCTTGGGTTATCCTGGGTGGCTAACCCTCCAGGGTTAAAAATCCGAACGAAATCTTATCTTATCTTATATACACTGAGAGATGCATATATCTCATTGTATATGCACTGAGAGGTGAATATCTCTCAGAGTACATACACTGACAATTTGTATTTCCCAGTATGTATACACGTAGAGGTGAATATCTCAGTGTGTATGCACTGATTGGTGTATATCTTTGTGTATATACACTGAAATGTGTATAGTTCAGTTTATGTACACTAAGAGGTGTATTTCTCAGGATATATGCACTGAGATGTGTATTTCTGAGTGTATATACATGCATCGGGAGGTGTATATCTCATAATATATATACACAGGAAGGTGTATATCTCTGCGAATAAATACTGAGAATTGTATTTATCAGTGTATATGCACTGAGAGGTGTATATATCGGTGTATATCTCAGTTCTCAGTATATGTACCGAGAGGTGTATATCTCTACGCATGTACACTGAAAGGTTTGTATATATATATATATATATATATATATATATATATATATATATATATATATATATATATATATATATATATATATATATATATATATATATATACAAAGAGGTATGTATGTCTCAGTGTATATACATTGGCCGTATATACACTATATATATCATACCATATACCACTGTGTATATATCAGTGTATATTAGAGATGTATATCTCCGTGTATTTACAAAGAAACGTGATATATCTGTGTATATACTCTGGAAGGTGTTTGTAACTTAGTGTATATACTCTGGAAGGTGTTTGTAACTTAGTGTATATACTCTGAAAGGTGTTTGTAACTTAGTGTATATACTCTGGAAGGTGTTTGTAACTTAGTGTATATACTCTGGAAGGTGTTTGTAACTTAGTGTATATACTCTGGAAGGTGTTTGTAACTTAGTGTATATACTCTGGAAGGTGTTTGTAACTTAGTGTATATACTCTGGAAGGTGTTTGTAACTTAGTGTATATACTCTGGAAGGTGTTTGTAACTTAGTGTATATACTCTGGAAGGTGTTTGTAACTTAGTGTATATACTCTGAAAGGTGCATATCTAAGCGTATATACACTGAGAGGAACGTATATCTTAGTGTATATACAATGAGATATATACACCTGTCAATAGTTCAGGAAGACACAAGAACCACCACTAGGGTATATTAGACAATGTTTGAGTCCTGGGACCTGGAAAATGTTTGAGTCCTGGGTCCTGGAAAATGTTTGAGTCCTGGGTCCTGGAAAATGTTTGAGTCCTGGGACCTAGAAAATGTTTGAGTCCTGGGACCTGGAAAATGTTTGAGTCCTGGGTCCTGGAAAACGTTTGAGTCCTGGGTCCTGGAAAATGTTTGAGTCCTGGGACCTAGAAAATGTTTGAGTCCTGTGTCCTGGAAAATGTTTGAGTCCTGGGTCCTGGAAAATGTTTGAGTCCTGGGTCATGGAAAATGTTTGAGTCCTGGGACCTGGAAAATGTTTGAGTCCTGGGACCTGGAAAATGTTTGAGTCCTGGGTCCTGGAAAATGTTTGAGTCCTGGGTCCTGGAAAATGTTTGAGTCCTGGGACCTGGAAAATGTTTGAGTCCTGGGTCCTGGAAAATGTTTGAGTCCTGGGTCCTGGAAAATGTTTGAGTCCTGGGACCTGGAAAATGTTTGAGTCCTGGGTCCTGGAAAATGTTTGAGTCCTGGGTCCTGGAAAATGTTTGAGTCCTGGGTCCTGGAAAATGTTTGAGTCCTGGGTCCTGGAAAATGTTTGAGTCCTGGGACCTGGAAAATGTTTGAGTCCTGGGACCTGGAAAATGTTTGAGTCCTGGGACCTGGAAAATGTTTGAGTCCTGGGACCTGGAAAATGTTTGAGTCCTGGGACCTGGAAAATGTTTGAGTCCTGGGACCTAGAAAATGTTTGAGTCCTGGGACCTGGAAAATGTTTGAGTCCTGGGTCCTGGAAAATGTTTGAGTCCTGGGTCCTGGAAAATGTTTGAGTCCTGGGTCCTGGAAAATGTTTGAGTCCTGGGTCCTGGAAAATGTTTGAGTCCTGGGTCCTGGAAATGTTTGAGTCCTGGGTCCTGGAAAATGTTTGAGTCCTGGGACCTGGAAAATGTTTGAGTCCTGGGTCCTGGAAAATGTTTGAGTCCTGGGTCCTGGAAAATGTTTGAGTCCTGGGACCTGGAAAATGTTTGAGTCCTGGGTCCTGGAAAATGTTTGAGTCCTAGGTCCTGGAAAATGTTTGAGTCCTGGGTCCTGGGAAATGTTTGAGTCCTGGGACCTAGAAAATGTTTGAGTCCTGGGTCCTAGAAAATGTTTGAGTCCTGGGTCCTAGAAAATGTTTGAGTCCTGGAACCTAGAAAAAGCTTGGGCCCTTGGACCTAGAAAACGCTTGGGCCCTGGGACCTAGAAAACGCTTGGGCCCTGGGACCTAGAAAAAGCTTGGGCCCTTGGACCTAGAAAACGCTTGGGCCCTGGAACCTAGAAAACGCTTGGGCCCTGGGACCTAGAAAAAGCTTGGGCCCTTGGACCTAGAAAATGCTTGGGCCCTGGGACCTAGAAAACGCTTGGGCCCTGGGACCTAGAAAACACTTGGGCCCTGGGACCTAGAAAACGCTTGGGCCCTGGGACCTAGAAAACGCTTGGGCCCTGGGACCTAGAAAACACTTGGGCCCTGGGACCTAGAAAACGCTTGGGCCCTGTGACCTAGAAAACGCTTAGGTCCTGGGACCTAGAAAATGCTTGGGCCCTGGGACCTAGAAAACGCTTGGGCCCTGGGACCTAGAAAACGCTTGGGCCCTGGGACCTAGAAAACGCTTGGGCCCTGGGACCTAGAAAACGCTTGGGCCCTGGGACCTAGAAAACGCTTGGGCCCTGGGACCTAGAAAACGCTT